ATCCCCCCCCACCACCAGAATCTGAAAGTCTTGAAAATATCAAAGAAATTGAGAACCTTGTTTTTTGCTTTTTTTTTAGGAGACGCAAACATGGTACAAAATTCAAAAATATTTTAACATCCCCCTCCACTAAAAATTCCTGGATCCATCACTGCAATATTTAAACCACTTTAATTAGTCATAGAAAACTGTTTAATACGATCACGCTGACGATAGAACACGTGTTTTTAATGAGTTTTAATTGTTATTGTAAAAAGCTATAGACAACAATAAAACAAAAAGTCTTTAAAATATAAATAGCTAATGTAAAACAACTTTGTGACGCTGTTTTGTTGCTGTTTTATACAATTTAATAATATAAAATGCGTTTAAAATAAAACAAAGCAAATAAATGAAATTGTTGTAATTAATAAATTAAAAAATTATTGTCAATAAATCAAAAAACATCGTCAAAAAGTTAATAAAAAATTAGATACCACATTTTTTATAATTTATAGTTTCTTGAATAAAGGACTAATAAAAGTTTAAATATAATTAAGTTTTTTATTTAAATTGTTTTTAAGTTGATGCTTTTATTCAAATTTTCTATTTCAATTGTTTTCCAATAAAAAGTGAAACAAAAAAATTTGGTTTAATGATTCATGTTTAAAATAAGACTTAAAAACGTTAAAGTAAAAAAATTGCTGGTTTTTAATAGCATTTTTATACTGTTTGAAAAAAAAAACTAATAAAAAAGAATTAACTGATAGTATATTGATTAATAATTATTAGAATTTTTCCTTTTCTTTAACAATTCGCTTTAACAACCTTTTAAAAATTTTCCATGCAGAGATTTAAAGTAATTTAAATTCAAAAATGTTTTATGTTGAAAGAAAAACTCCGCGCGAAAAAGCAAATCATCTATTCATCTATCTATTCAGAATGATAAATTTTGTGTGACGTTCTTTATGATAAAAACATTACTTTTAAGAATTGCTAAAAAAAATGCTAAGCTAGAAAAAAAGTAATTAAACAACCAAAAAAAAAACAAATTGCAAAAATATTTTTTTTAAGAAAAAACTAATCGCAAAAGTGTGAAAAGCAATCGCAATCGCGATACGCTTAATATAAGCGTGTAAGACTTTTTTTTATAAGTTCTGAACTATTTAAAACTATTGCTTACACGGTGTAGTTAAGGCACTTTTAAAATAATAGAGTGTCTGTATGATATTTTGTTGACTGCAACATTTTTCCGTTAAATGGTCTGGTGTGTGAATTATGAAAAGATGAAAAAACTTAAAATGATAAATTTTGCGGTATCATAAAATATAAATGTTTGTAGCGAAAAAATCCAGACCGATGATTCTTTTTTTTTTTTTTTTAAATCATCTTAAAATTACAATCACTTGTCCAAATTTAAATAAGATTTTATATTAACAAGTTTTTTAGGTGAAATGAACATTATAGTTTAACAATATGATCTATTCTGATTGTTTATTGGCAATTTTCCATAATTATAAACTCTTTCGTAGTTGGAATTCCAGTATTTTTTGTGAAAATTGATAGAAATATTGTGTTTTGACAACTATATATAGTTAATATACGTCAGAACCGATTAGAACTAGGATCAGTAGTAAATTAAGAAACTTTTTCAAAAGATTTTAGCTAAATTCATATTAATGCCGATGAGCGGAATTGATCTAAAGACTCCAAATTCTTTAGAACTCCAGTGTTTTTTAGATACATTATTACGGGTAGTAAAAAGGTTTTGAAAATTATATATAAAAAAAAAAGTTTCTTTAAATATTATAAAAACCTTGAGCAAAAAAAAATTATAGCATTTAAAGATCTTGTTTGAACATAATATGCTGACGAAATCATGCTAATTCCAAATAAAAGTATTGGAATATTTTGTAAATCGCCTTAACTACACCAAGTAATAACTTTTTTTTAACGAGGTCTTTCAACCGAATTCTATTATATTGTTATTGCAAAACTAATTCAAAAACTTGATTAAAACTTAACTATTTAATCACGACTTTTTACTTGAAAACGTAACGTGATTTTTAACGACTAACAATCGAGTTTCAATGGTAAAAAAATCAAAATGGAGTTGTTTTTCAGTGATTTCGGCAATTGCTTTTTGATAGCATGCATTTATTATTACAATTTAGTGAAAAAGAAAAAAAACTTATGTATTTTTTTTTATGCTCTTTCATATGAGATCATGTTAGGAGCACTTTAGGATCCCTTTAAATATTTTTGTTAAGACGTCATTATTTTTTGTTTCATGAAAGCATTTTCAAATGCTTTCATTAAACAAAAATTATATTATAAAATATTCAAATTAAAAAAATTTCACTTTAAAACTATTCACATTAAAACAAAAATTATATTATAAAATATTTAAATTAAAAAAAAAAATTGTTCTACTGTTAGTCAAAAAAATTTTTTTTCTGGAATTTTGAAAATATAATTTGACTTACCAAATTTTAATAACCCAATTTTTTTTCTCTCATTTTTTATTACTAAACAACTTGAACGAAAAAAATGAAAACTTTAAAACCATTTTAATTAATTATACTCATAGTACGCTAGATGAAGAAACAATAAGTAAGAAAAAACGCGGTATCTAAGGTTTTTTTTTTGCTTTGATCTTACTTGTTTAGTCTATGGATATAGCATGTTTTTGCGCAAATATGAAATTTAAAGTTTTATCATGATAATGTTTTAATTTATTAATTAAAACAATTTTATTTATATACTTTGTTTTATTTTAAACAAAGTAAATATATTGTTTATAACATTAAAATGTTATAAACAATATATTTACTTTGTATTATAACTAAACAATATAAAACAAAGTTTTGTTTTATATTGTTAACAAAACTTTGTTTTATATTATTTAGGGTGTTACCAAGGAAAAAATTAAAATTCAGGGTGTTACCCAAAAAAAAAAAAATTCAGGGTGTTACCCAGGAAAAAAAAAAAAAAAAAAAAGGTCCTTACATTCTGCAATTAAATTTTAATCAAAATAAACTTTCTATTTTTGCTGGGAGTTACATTTACAGCAGGATTATTTTTCTACTTTATATATGTTTAATTTTAATTAATCAACTTGTTTCATTATGAGCAATCTTCTAAAGTTTTCATTTAAATCGCTTCTTTTCTTTGTTTTTGATATACTGCAGCTGTTTTTCAAAACGCCTTAATTACATATTTCGAGAAAAGTGCAATTAAAAAAATTTTTTCTTTTTTTACTATGATCTTATAAACCTTTGGGAATTTTAAACCAATTGGGAATACCATGTTATACGCGATGCCATCAGGCTGGGTAACACCCTGTTATTGTTATAAACTGTATAAAACAGCAATAAAAAAACATCACGAATTTGTTTTATATTAGCACAAACTTTTTCTATTGACAAAACCATTTTGCAGTATTGTTTCACTGTTGTTTTATAGCTTTTTTCGATAAGATTTTAATACTCTTTAAAAATAAAATGTGTTTTATGCTTGAACGAATTAAATATTGTAATATTTGCATTTTTACTTTTACTTTTTTAAGTATCATGTTAAGTAAAAACAATTACTAAAAGTAAATGTTGTAATAGTATCAAATACGTTTACACTATAATACATTACACTATATCAGGGTGGGCATGGATATCATGGAAGTCATGGTAATGTCATGGAATTTTATTTGGTCATGGAAAAAGTCATAAAATTCCTAAATTTATTGAAAGTCATGGAAAATTCATTGAACTTTTTAAAATTATCTTTATTTTTTTCTACTTGTGATATTTTTAGGATGCAAAGAAAAGTACTAGTATGTTTAGTCTAAGTCCATTTTGAAAAAGATATTTTTGCAGTGTAAGTTATCAGAGAAGTAAAAGAAAAAGAGTTTTTTTTAGACATGATTTCAAAACTTTCTACCAATTAGTTTTTGGTTTGCATGTTTTATAATTACCAAGTTGCAAATGCTTAGTGCATGACAAATACTGAATATTTCACTCTAGTGATTTATTTATGAAAGTTTATGAAGAGTCATGGAAAAGTTATGGAGTTTCATTTTCAAGTTTGAGTGGCAACCCTGTATATCTGCAATTTAAACTTTAAATTTTAACTTAATCTGTAAATTATAACTGTAACTTATAACTTAGACTGCAATTTATAACTGTAATATGCTAATTTGCTAAAAATATGCTAAAAGTAAGCATATTAAGTACTATATACAAATATGCTAAAAGTTAATATGCTAATATGCTAAAAGTGCGAATTAGCATAAGTGCGCCGAACAAATTTCCAAACATTGGCATGAATGCAAATTGGCATAAGTGCGAAGCAGTTACAAAAACTGGCATAAGTGCGAACTGGCATAAGTGTGAATTGGCATAAGTGCGCTGAAAAAAATTTCAAATATTAGCATAAGTGCAAATTAGTATTTCACACCTATGTTAATTCGCACTTATGCCAGTTCGCACTTGTGCCAGATGTTGTAACTGCTTTGCACTTATGCCAATTCGCATTTATGCCATTTCGCACTTGTGCCAGTTTTTGTAACTGATTCGCACTTATGCCAGTTCGCACTTATGCCAATTCACACTTATGCCAATGTTTGCAAAATCTTTTGGCACTTATACCAATTCACATTTATGCCAATTCCCACTTATGCCAATTTGCACTTATGCCAGTTCGCACTTATGAAATTCGTGCTTATTCAGTTGTCCTGAAATAAGACATACATGTTTGCAAAATTGAAATAAGTCAAAAATTTTGAAATTGTGGAATCGCTAGATTTTTCTAACTCAGACTTTCAAATCAGTTTAAGATTTCTATTTGGAATTGAAAACATATTAAAAAATTAAGATTTTTTGAATGATACATTATATATGCAATGTAATCTAAAAATATGGGTACAAGCAACATTTTATAAAAATTATAGGCCAGTTATTTATTTTTTGCAAAATTTTGGCTTACATCGCATTGTTTTCATTAAAATCATTTTTTTTTTGTTAAAGACGATACAAAAAAATCTGGTCATCGTTTGCTGGGTGATGTAGAATATTCTGAAGCTAAAAAAAGAGCATCATGGATAACTCCAGTACCAGGGGGTAAGTTTGTAAAATTTAGTCAACATATAATGGTTATTATTAGATTTGGAAAAAATTATTTTATGATGTAAATTGATTTGTATATTTTAGTAATTGCTGTACAATAATATTAAAAAAAAAATAAAGTCAAAAAAATAGTATCTAGAAATTAATTTCCAGTTTACACTGAGTTACATTTGTAACTTGTAAAATGGTTAAGTGGCAAATCACAAACAGGTCATAAATTTTTATGAACTGACTAGTCTAAAATTAATTTTGTGAAATCTGATGAAGCTCAAAATGTTTTTTTATTATAATTTTTTTTTTGAGTTACTTGTCAAAGCTTACTTTTTCAGGTTTTGTAGCATTGAACCATGTATTTTTATATATTCTTAAATTACATTGAACCATATGGTGTATAAAAAAACACCTGCAATGCATAAATTTTTTTTGAAATTTTTCGGATGCCAATATAAAAAAATTTGCTTTAAATATTCTATATTGTAAAATATGGATGAAATACAAAAAAAAATTTATAATTCTGTAATTTAAAATGTAAATAAAAAACATTGTACATGTTTGTTCTAATTAGGCAATCCACAGGTATTTGTTAGTTAGTTAAGGTAGTATAGAGTTTAATGTGGAAAAGCTCCGCTTTATACTTGATGTTAGTATATTCTTTATATCTTGCAACCTAAATAGATTACTAAAAAAAAAAAAAGTTTATTTTTAAAATAAGAAGAGTTAAAAAATGTTTTTTGTCAGTTTTTGTTCAACAGAGAATCATAATTTTACAGTCTTGTTACAGTATCTAGAATTATTAAAGTTATATTTATTGTTTAATTTGTTAGTTTCTCTAGTAATTGTTTAAACACTCTTTTCACATTATAATGAATTCCAAAAATTGAAATTTTTGGAAAGAATAATGTCAGCATGCGCATCAGAAAATAAGCAAATAAATGATTGATCAAATGAATCAAACACAGAGGTTGTTGTGTGACAGTTTGGAGTTGCTTTGCTGAGTAGAAGATTTAGTCAACTTACTTTTACATACTTTTATCTCTTGACAACGAAAAATAGTCAATAAATTTTTTTTCAGCAAAACAACTTTACACACTCATTGAAATTATATAAAAATTGTATTTTGTTAAAAGGATGTGCAAAAGTATTAGGAAACATGGATTGGCCACTTCAGTCACTAAATCAGATTTAATTTTTATACAATGAACTAGAAAGAAATGTACAACAAATTTTGGCATTACTTGATACAGAATTGCAGGTAAGTTTCACTACTTACATAAAAATGTGCAAGGTTTAAATGTGCTAAGTTTGTGCAGCAGTTAAAAAGGCTAAAAAAAGTTATTTTGAAAAAATTAGAAAGAAATATCAAAAAATTTCTTTGCTTATACTTTTTATTATGTTTTTATTTACTTTTAAAAATTTAATTTGGTATTAGTAATCTATTTTAATTGTAGTGTTAGATGTATTAAAAGTTGTTTTAGTGGTAGGTGTGTTGAAAGTTGTGTTGAAAGGTGTGTTGAAAGTTGTGTTGAAAGTTGTGTTGAAAGTTGTGTTGAAAGGTGATCAAAAACATATGACTAGTAGTGTTAAATAATTAGACTGTTATTGTATATACTAAATAGATTATAAGAGCATTATTATTTTTATAAAATATAATAAGATTGTTTTTGAGTTATTACAAAATTGTTTATTACAATATTAGTAAATGCTTTTTGCTGTTGTTTAGGTGTTGGACCGATGACTGTTGCAATGTTGATGAAAAATACATTGGAAAGTGCTAAAAGTCAACTTTTTTAAAAGGTAAAAGCTTTTTTCAAAAGAATAATATTCTCTAATAATTTTGATTTTTCAAACACCTAGCAAACACCTAGCAAACACCTAGCAAACACATAACAAACACATAGCAAACAACTAGCAAACACATAGCAAACACATTACTTTAAATTTTCTGTCTTAAAGATCTGTTTTAGTCTGTTTGCAGATAAAATAAAATGCTTTTATTGGCTCTTTATCTCAAATGTCAACTCAGACCTGTCAAATATCTTCTTTATTATGAAATTATACTGAGTGTCAAAATTTAGCTTATGAAATATTATTTAGGTACCAGGCCTCTATTAATATAAGAGGGACTGCCTCAATTTTTCAAAAAGCCTGAATTTTTAGAGACCATAAATTCAAAAAAAGTTTTTAAAATTATGTTCAAAATTAACCTAAGTTTAAACAAAGCTAAATTATATAGTAACTATTAAGTTGGTTTAATTTTTAATTAGATTACTTTTTTAATTATTTTTTATATATCATTCTTAAATAAGAATTCTAAGATCTGGATATATTTTTTTCAATTATTGAATTTTTTGCCTTATCAAATTGTATTAAATTGGTTTCTTAATTAAGATTTTTGACATTCAAAAAAATGAACTCAATACATATCCTATTTTATCAAAATATGGTTTGATAATTTTTCTTACATTTTGGTTTGATAATTTTTCGTACATTATGGTTTGATAATTTTTCTTACATTATGGTTTGATAATTTTTCTTACATTATGGTTTGATAATTTATGAAAAACTGTAGCATTATGATAAGTTTTTTCAAATTTTGTAATAATCAAGTTTTTGCTTCTTTCTGATTAAAATTATAAATAAAAACATAAAGCAGTTTTCTATAAATATAGTTTTCTCTGATTTCATCACTGGTTAAGTCAGAGTTTTTGCAATCGTCTGATCTAATTGTCTATAAAATGTTTGAAAAAAAAAAAAATGATGATATTAATTCCCCTGAAAGTTTTTCAAATGAGAAAAATAAATCTTTTGCCAAAAAAATTGAACAGTATAGTTTGTCTCCATTATATTTACTAATACCATTTAATATGACAGTCATTGTAAAGTTTAAAAAAACTTGAATTTTATAGATTTTATAAGTTGAAAATTAAAAAAAGTTCAAAGGTTCAATTGACTCTGGCTTCATGAAAATCTGCCAAACATAAGACTTATGGGGAATTATAGACCTGTTTTAAAGTTTTAGCCTGGATTTAACAATTTTTTTTTTTTTGGTTTAGGAATGGTGTTCACCTAAAATTTTTATGTCTTACTAACAGAACATATATAAAAATAAATTTCATAGTAAGTTACAGTCTTGCATTTTAAATAAATCTTTATTTTGATTTAAATAATTCAAAATATAATTTTGTATACACAAGTTGTATCTGGTGGCATAAAAAACTAGCAGCACACATTGACATTTAACAGCTATCTTATGCTCACATAATTTGTTCTTGCACACATTGAATTAGGGTCAAAAGAATTTTTCCCTGGAAAATTTTACCAGCTCTTAAGTATATGCTATGATATAAGGTATTAATTTTTAAATATATGTTTGAACATGGTATGATCTAAGATATGTATTATGTATTGTATTATGGTTCAATGTAAGAAGTTAACTCTTATGAATAGTTTTTTGCTGACTCTTAATTGTATGTATGATATGATATAGGTATTAATTCTTAGATTTAACAGTTTTGTTTAGCTGTTAGTACTAATAAAGCTATAGTTTATTTTATAGCACTTCATATTAAAGCTTTTGAGTTGTTAAAATTTTGAAACAATGGTTGAGCAATGTTTGAACTTAGAGCTGTGCAATATAGAGATAATGGAAAAAGAAACATTTGAATAAATGCTTTGGTGCACTCATGTGCCTAAGCAATGTTTTGTGGGATCAACAATGCAAAAATAGCAGTTGCTTAAATGGTTCTCCGGTTGATGCCAAATCTAGGGGTAGCAAACTTTATGGCACTTTTTTCTCTCCTGGACTAACCTATAAGATAACACGTGTAAGTAATTATTGAAATTTGAAGTAAATTTCACGCATTACATATTAACATACAACATTTTCTTTCAGTACATTGATAGAAACTTTGTTAATTTAAACTTTTTAAACTACATATATTTAAGTCATTGATAAATTGTGCAAATAAAACATATCTAAGCAAGAAAATCTTGTGCAAAATAAAACACATTTAAACAAATAGCAATAGTTTAACTTGCCTTCAAAAGTTCTCTTGCAATATTCAGATGTAAAATACAGTTCCTAAAACATATCTCGGTCTTTGACAAGCATGCCGAAATATGCCTTCTAGGTTTTACACATTTTATGATTTAGCAAAAACAGCAAAAAGAATCTCCTGGATACAAACAAAAACTTGTTTCAAATTATATTTTTGTTCTTTAAATACAAATTCTTTATTCACCAATAACATAAAATGAAATGTTGGTTCAGTTCACCTGTGTTTTTATACACGTGTCACTACTTTTATACACCTCAGTTTGAGAACTTTCTAGAAGTTTCTTAAAAATTATAAAAATTCTTTTAAGTTCAAGAATATTCCTAAAAAAAACTCAGTGTTTAATACTAATCTAGAACTTTCTGGAAAACACATAAATTGCAAAAATATTGCAGTCCTAGACACAAAAGCAAATTTTTGGAACATCAATTTTCTATTTGTTTTAAGAAAAAAAGGTTTGGAAACCACACTTTCAATCAAAAAGCAAAATAATAATAAAATTTGTTACATAGTGTTACCAAAAAAAGCTTTCTGTTTTCATTTACAGAATTGAAAACTTACAGCAAAAAATTACAAGTTATGCAAATATCTCTTTGCTAGATCATAAATATAAAACAAAATTTATTGGTATTTCGTTAACCATGTGGATGTTTTTTGGATTTAGTGACATGCTGTTTGATAATCATCTTAAGTCAAACCAGCTCCTGTTATTTTAAAAACAGCCAATACATAGATAAAAAATTTTATGAAAGCCAATTTTAGGTGTTTTTTAAACCATGTAAGGTTTGCTTTTCATCTTTTACCTCTGTTATCAACAGAGGTAAAAGATGAAATGCCAAAGCATCATGCCAAGATACTTCTGCAATAATGTATTTTTATAGTTTGTTGATATTACAGACATCAAAATCTGTCTACTATTACTTGGTTGTCAAAATCTACACCGAGCTTTGTTTTCAACAAATCAAGTTCAAAAAATATTGTTTTCTTTATGCTGACTCTTTGTGTATTTTTAAAGAAAGGAAAATTATTTCTGCTTAACTTTTTTTGAAAACTAAAAGTAACAAAATTTGAAGAAAAAGTTTGATTTACTAAGCATTTTGTGTCTGAAATGTTTGATATTCAGCTTACTAAAAGAATCTAGGGATGAATCTAATAAATTTGACTTTTAAAGGTTATTTAGTTATAAAAAAAGAAAAGCTAAATGCAAAAGTTTTTCTAGTACATTTCCCTTTGAATTTGATGTATGTAGGTTTTTGATATACTGAAGTTTGAATGAGAGACTGTACTAATTGATTAAATTTTCTTATTTCCTGATTTAAATAATGATAGAAATTCCTCATTTTGGTATTAGAAAGGCCTGTATTGAGCTGTATTGAATATTTTCCATGTCTTTGGTTTTAATGTATTTGCCAAAGAAATCTGTTTGTTGACTAATCGAACCTTATCAAAAAGTCTTTTTAAAAACTGATATAATTTAATATAAAAACAAACTTTTTGACTTAAGAGTTTTCAATAAACATATGTTACCTGGAGCTATTCTAAACTGTTTGCTGCCAGTGACCTGAATGAATCTTATGGTACAATTACATGATCTTTCCTATGTGGGTATGACTGATGATGCAATTTGTTCCACTCCAATTGGATCATTTAAAACCAAGGTTTGCAAGTTTTAATATCTATTTCCAGCAGAAGTTATTTCGACCTCAACCAATAATTGATAAACACTTTGTGTTAGTAAGTGACCGGGGCCCAGACTAAAAATGAGACTTTTTTCAAACCCGGCCCCCGGCTAAACTATAAGAATTAGCTGGGGTTGATAGCCGGGGTTAGAAAAAAATTTATAATACTTTATATATTATAATTTTATGCTTAATTTTACTATTTATTAAATACTAGTATACATTTATATACTTTTAAACTCTAATTTACTTCCAATAAGATTGCAAGCAACCGCTATTAATTTATGAGTTACTTTAAAATAGATAATAAGTAAAAATACTTGGAAATGGTTAACAGAAGACATAAAAAGTTGTAGGTTGTATATAAAAAAAAAAAAATGAAGATGTGCAAGGAAAAAAACTGGATTATTAAAAGTTTTTGTAGCATGGAGGGACAGATACAGTAAAAGGATGCAGCCTGTTAAATAAAAAACAAGAAAGATTGAGTTTTGGTTTATCGTAATAGAGATGATAGCTTGTTTGAGCATTGACCATGATTGTATTTGTATAAAAAAGAAAAAAATGTAACCTTACAAAAATTGGAGAGTGGCTCAAGCTTGGAAGATAAAGCAGGTCTAATTACATTTACAATGTACTTTTAGACTTTGTCTGAGAGTAAGAAGGTTGTTATTTATCAATATAGGAATGCCAACAATATTGAAATATTTTTTTGCAGTAAAGTAGTTTTGTTGTCTAACAAAAGTTGTGGATTTTAAATCCAGACTTAAAATCCACGCCTTAGGCTGTTACAGAAAAAAGCTAAAACTTTTTGTCATGAAAAGAGTATTAAGATGAGTCGTCAGAGCCACTTTAGATTCTATGAAGATTGTTATTGTAGACAAGAAACAATACAGGAGCAAAAGTAGAACCTTGTGGACCCTTAAAGCTACTTAGAAGATGGTAGGCCTTCAATAATAACTTTACTACTGCAGTTAGAACAAAATCATTTAATAACCTTAAAACCTTGATATGAAGAAACTAATAAGATAGTAAAAGCTAATTGTAGGATAGTCTGAGAGGTCAAAGTGTTTTCTAGAGTTTTGAAAAATTGGAACCACTTATTTAGCACTAATAAAAGTAAACATAAAAGTTTAGCAACAATTAAAAAGAGTTCTGGAGAACACTTTTTAAAGACTATGATGGAAATCTATTTTGGAGCATTAACTTAAGCATTGGAAGCCAGAGTGACTTGAATAACAATGAGTTAATCTGTTCAACTGTCAGAAAGAGTATCGCAATTTTTTTCAAGAGTCACATAAGGGTAGGTTTTCTTTGCAAATAACTCTGCTTTATTCGTTATGGGGAGAAGTAAAAAGATCAGACACATGAACTAGAGATTAAATGTTAGACTTACTTTAGATAATTACACTGTTGAAGACTAACCAAAAGTCTCTAGAACCTGACATTTGAGATAAGATACAAGATTTAGTAAACTGAGAATAACAGAGCATGACTTTTTTTTGGTTTTTTGCAATAATAAAATTGGTTTTTTGCAATAATAAAAGGACATTTGTTCTTAAGAGAGATGTTTTTGTAAAAAAAAAAAAAATGAAACAAAATGATTAAGGTTTAATAAGCATATGCTCAAGATGTTAGAAAATTGTGGAGTAGAATGAGTGCCTTACATATTGTATGAATTAGCTTAAGTTAAGAAAAAAAAATGCTCTAGATTGTTTATATTAGTGAAACAGCATAAAAAAAGGAAGGCTAAAGGTTTGGAAGCTGATGATCATGATGATGATCATGATCTGATGATGATGTGGCCATGATCAAGCCTGATGATGATGATCATCATTATTATGATGATGATGATCATCATCATGATCATTATCATCATGATAATGATTATGATAATCATGTTGCTCATAATGATGTTTATATATGTATATATATATACAAAATATAACATGAATTTCGAATAAAAAAAATACACTTTAGGATGTATAAATGTTTATGCAAACCCGGTCACAAATCCGGTCCCGGCTAAATTTTATCAAACCCAGCCCCAGCCGCGGTCAAATATCAACCCCGGTCGTTTACTACTTTGTGTATTTTTTCTTAGTTTCTTGCGTTAGTCTCTTGACAATGATCATGTATCATTTGTTTTTTTTGTTTGTCTTTCATCAGTAGTTTTTTAATAAGCCTTTGTTTTCTAATTTGCAAATCGAACATTCACAGTTCAGAGTATTTTGTGTATGTGACTTAACATGAATTAAAGTTAAGAAGAACAAAATCAACCCTCAGTATTAAAACACAATCTATTTTGAACAAGTTTGTGTACTACTTTGTAAACATAGAAAATACACAACCTTCTGGTTTCTGCTTTTGTAAAGCGTTTTTAAATGTTTTTTTCAAAATATTTTGTGGAGCGAAGCCTAATTCCTAAGTAATATATGATTAATATATGTTACATTTTTTTACTAGTTACAAGGTATATTGCCTAATATATGATTAACAATGGATTTCTTTTATTTACTTCCCGAACTGTTAAATGTCTTCCGCATTTAATTATATTTTTCAATTACTTGCTTTTTCCACTCCTTTATTAATCCAACTATTTTATTATTTCCTAAATTGGAACAATCAACTAAAATAGGCGTTAGTTTGTAAAATTTATTTTAGTATTTCCTTTTTGGTAACATTTAGAAAAATTTTATGTTTAAACAAAAAAATCTTATTTGAATCTTGCTTTTTAAAATCTTTTTCAGCAAAATCTTGAAAATTAAAAATCATCCCTCGGACAAATTTAAAAGATTGTAATATTTTACCAAGTTAATCTACTATAAATTTATGTAATCATCCCTCAAAAAAGCTTTCTTAGTAATCTCCGTAAGCATTAGTCTTGATTTTCACAGACCGTGACCTCCTCCAGCAGTTAGTTCAGTTATGCCTGATATCTTTCTTTTTTGATAAAATATTTTAGTTAACATATTTGTATGTAAATTTTTATTTCTGAATGAATAAGTTCGAATTCATTTTGCTGTAGTTAATGTTAAACTACATTTCATTTAAAATAATGTAGTAATATTGTTGTATGTTGTTGTATATTATATTACATTCGTTATAGCTATAAGTGTGTGACATACAAACTACTATTTTATTATTTTATTTTATTTTTTTATTTTCAACAGCGTCTTTGACAAGTTTGGTGTTCGTCGTTAAATGAAATGATTTTCATTCTATTTTGGACCTAGTTTTGGCGTTAAGAATAATGAAAGAATTGTGTTAACGAAACGCAACTTACAGCTTTTTTACATCTCGTAAAATAAAATATCTCCACGTTTCTCCCAGCAAACATAATCTCTCAATGATGTCTCTAGCCGTCAAATTTGGTTAAAAGATATCTTTAAACCTCATGTGTTTGCTGGGCTTTGTCAGACATTCTATTTTTGTTATCATATTTGCGAAAATGTTAGATATTTTTTGAGTTTTGTAATAACGTTTGACAATAATATATTTCTATAAAAGGTACATCTTGATAAGATTTTATTTAAGTGACCAATAGTCACTTAATTAAAGGGTGGTTCCAAAAACAACTTTTTTTTGAAAGTGTCTACTGGCTCCCCCTAAATGAGTTCTATATGATAAAATAATACTGGATTTATAAATTTCGAATAAAATATAATTTCCGTAGTTGCTAAGGACCTTCGACCATTAAAAGGGTCCCTATAATAAAAAAAAGTTCTTCAAAAGTGTGTCATGTTGGGTCTCAAATGAATCGAAATTATTTTAAAATTTCAAAAATGTAAATCATTTTATAAATAAATTATTATTTTAGTGAACAGAAAATTACATTTTTTTTAACGATTTTAGTGAACAGAAAAATACATTTTTTTTAACGAAAAACAGAACAAAAAAGAAATTTAGCGATAATGATTTTTTTTCTCTCGATGTTCTTTATAAAATGATGATTATTTTTGAAATTTTTATAACTACCCTAGTAGTGGGGTGTTATTGCTGGTTGGCTTTTATAGGCTATTGTGATTTTGAAAGTTTCATTTTAATAACCGCGGTTTTCAAATTCGAAAATGGCTTTTATTTGAATAAATGCAGCAACGCTCGATTTTTTTAATTATTAGCTTTAAGTATTAAACAAAAATAAGGTTTATTTTTGTTTAATACTTATTAATACTTATTTATATATTTTATGGAAACTGGTCTTGCATAACTACGGCATATTTTTTTCTGTTTATTAATAATCGTGTGCCTAATACTCACAAAGTGATACAATTTATGTTTAAAGCAAAGTTTTTGCTTTAAAGAGAAGCGCGGGTTACACTGTCCTTCAAAACATTAGCTAAATTTTTTTTTTTTTTTCAACTTCAATTACTGAATACAACTTTCTGAAAAAAGCCTTTTTAAATGAAAAAACTGGTTAATACAACTCTTTAAATGGAAAAAATGGTTAAAAAAAAAAGATTTAAACATAATTAAACTATTTAAAATGTGTTTTTTTGCTTTTATTGGTTTTTGTAAAAAAATGTAAATTGGCTTTTCCAAAAGCTTTTTTATAACAACTCAAAAAATATTAAAGTGAAGCTCAAAAGTCCTGCAAGTTGTAACCGTCTGCAAGCTGTATTTTTAGACACTAAAAAAATTCAGTTTTTGAATGATATCATAAGCGCTGTTAAAAAGATTCTTTTTGGCGTGAAGAGTAATTTTTTTAAATTGTTTGATTAATCAACACGCGGTTGATTTATGAATGGATTAATTGTTAACAAATTCTTTTTGTTTGGGGTTGCCCATAAATTTCGTCACGCATTAAGGGGAAGGGAGGGTTACGATTTTTGACAAAGGGGAGGTCAAAAACCGTCGAAAATTGCGTAACGTAATTTATGGACGACCCTTTTTTATAATCTTTTATAATACGATTTCTAAAAGCTAAATTATACATGTTTCCTGCCATTATAAACCAAAACAGCGCAAATCTATAATCTCAAGCTAATGTTGTAACGATTGCAATACTACTATTCCTTTTCTGGACAAATATTAACGATTTGTTAACTCTTATTGGTTAAGTATTAATGATTACAATCAGGGACTACTAAAACAACAAGGGCAACTAAAACAAACTGCAGTTTTAGTAGTTCTTGACAACAACATTAAAATTAAATCTTGGTTGTGAATTGTTTGTTAGAGTAGTTATAAAAGAGTTCCTAATGTTTTTTTACATTTAAATATAATTAAAAGCAAAAAAAACAAACGCATTTATTCATTGTCATTGTATAAATGTAAAATCTTTTTTTTTATATGTCATTTTCACCATATTTTTCATTTAAAGAATCTTTGTTTTTAGTAAGATTGCTGTATTCAGTAAGGATGTTACTTTTACTTATTTTGATGTTAAAACCCAAATTACTTTTGATCGTATATTACTTCCATAACTCATATTGAAATATATAATTTACTTCCATTTAAAAGTTAATCTTTTTTTTGTTGTTGTATAAATTTATGTAAATACATGTAAAAATTAATACATGTAAAATACATGTAAAACTTAAATACTTAAGTTTAATTTTTTAAATGTATACTTGTTACTTGAAAAAGCAGTTCGTTTTTACAAGTAAAAGTAATTTGGATTTTTTACTTTTAATTACAAATGTAACGTATTTTTAATGATAAGCCTTGTAAAGTAATTTACTTTAATATTATTGTCGACCTTAATAGTATTGCTGTTAGCGCTTTAGAGCGTGTATGAGGTGGAATTCTTGGCAGCCATTGCAAACGAGGTAATGGCGAGAAAGAGTCGTAACACTTTTTATAACAAAACATCAACGACACGGTCGTTTAGATGTGGAAAGTTATTATACGCAAGGGCAGTATCAAATTCAAATATTATAATTTTAAAGATGGTGACGGCCTTTAGATACAAAAATTTTTCTGAGTAGCAACAACATATTTAAAATTTTACTAAGTAGTTATTACTTGCATATTTTTGATAGAATGAAATAATAATAAAGATAATTGAATTGTTGATTCAAAAATGATAAAAACAATATAAAGATGTTTTAGTATATAAAAAAACCGTGATTCTCTGCTACATTTATCTGAGTGTTAAAAGCGTGATTTGTTTACATTTTTAAAACTCTTTTTCTAAAAATCTGAGCGATACAATTTAATAATTTTCACTTTTTTATTTCGAATAGTCTTATCTTGATTTGAAATTGTTTTCAGATCTGAGTATTCAATTTTTTTCTGAACAAAAATAGAATTCACCCAACACTACTTTTGTAGATGTATGATACATTTATATTAATGTATATAGCTAATATATATATATATATATATATATATATATATATATATATATATATATATATATATATATATATATATATATATATATATATATATATATATATATATATATATATATATATATATATATATATATATAACATATATATATATATATATATATATATATATATATATATATATATATATATATATATATATATATATATATATATATATATATATATATATATATATATATATGTATATATATATATATATATATAATTATATGTGAAATTATAATGCAAAAAAAAAAGGCTAAAAAGTTCACAAGTTTCTTATAAAGTATGTAAGATAAAATATTTATATATAAGTTAAAAATAAATTTATTATGTTACATAGTTTGTATACTATGTGATTTGTTTGCATTTAATTTATATTTCTTTTTATAATATGGGTAATATAAACTATACAATATAGTTTTTATAATATATCATATTCATTTAACTATATATTTTATACAATTTGTATCCAATAAATTTGTGTGCATATTATATTTCAACACGATTACAACAATTGTATGCAAACACATTTAATGCATACAAATCAAACTCTGAAAAATAATAAAATATTAAAAATAATAATATGTGTCCAAGCATAGTATACTATGTAATACAATGCAATATATATATATATATATATATATATATATATATATATATATATATATATATATATATATATATATATATATATATATATATATATATATATAATACATACACCATTGGCCATTAATTAGAGCATACTTACTTATAACATCGACTATATCTTTTTTAAATTTTTTTTGTTTGTCAAAAATTAATGCTTACTACTTTATTTTTAAAATTAATGTAATATATTAATGATTTTTCTTTAATAATTTAATTTGATTTTCATTAGCATTTATTAACTCTAAATTTCTAATTTTGAAATTAGAAATTTAGAGTTAATAAAGTACTGATGAAAACACAAATAAATTAGATATTAAAAAAGCCTCATAACGAGTGAAGTAATACAGCATAAAACTCCAAAATCATGGTTGAGATTCTCTGAAAAAACATGTTACAAATCTATTTTTATTTAAAACCAAGTACTATCTCCTCGTCAAATAGCCAATAAGTTAATTATTGGGTATTCAGTTGTTGCACATATTTGAAAACCTTATACTGAAACAGATGACATTATGGATCTGGATAATCTGGTGGGCAACACAATGAGATAAACGTTTATTAATTTGTTTGATGAAAATTGACAACAAGTGGTGAAATGTTATATTCTTAGACAAAATGAATGTTGAGGTAGATATGCATGAATATGTTATTTCATTGTGTTCTGCTATAGCGATCACCTCAAGAGTAATTTGATTTGAATTGTACATGAAAACCAACCAAGCAAGGTAATGGCAGTGTAGAATTTTGGGCCTACATGAATTATGCAGGACTTGAATGCTATTGATTATTTGAAGGTTGACTTAATGCTGATAGAAACATTGAAATTTTAGATGATTACCTTCTTCAATCCTTATTTGAGAAAGGTGGTTCTGCAAAATATTGAAATGCTTTTTTTTTTTTATGGTTTTTCTTTTGTAAATTATTGTTTTAATATATTATTTGAAATATATACTTAATTTTTGTCCAAGAAAAAAAGAAAAAAAAAAGAGAAAAAAACATTTATAGAGAAACAACAACCCCCCTGGTCTTTTCCTATCATACACTTAAGAACAGGAAGAGTGAATAAACAAATACGTAGAACAAAATGGCAAAAAAAGGCAGGTGATTTTTACATATCATTGAAGTCAAAACCTTAGCCTATCAGTTAATAAAAAAACAGTAACCTGGAAATGCTTGGAAGTATTACTAATTACTTATAGTTTGCAGTGAAAATTGCAAAAAACAAGAGAAAGAAAAGAGTTTTTACAAAACCAACAAACTTATATATAATCACAAATAAACTGATTAAAACTTTCCAAATGTATTTACCTTTACCAACTTCATTAGAATTCATCACAAAACACTTTAAAATATATTTTGATTAAACTTTATTTGATGCTAATAAATGCTTAAAAAATAAGCGAACAAAAGAAAACGCGTAGACAATAATTAATGATCAACTTTGTATATATCCTACCACTTGTTGTTAAAACCATTTGCGGTTAGTTAACGTTTTTAATATTCATTAACTATTCAATA